CCCGCCATGCCCGCTGCGCGCCGCCCGCGCTGCCCTCAGCCCTCCGGTCCGTCCGCCGCCCTCCTACTGCGCGCCCGCCACCGTGGCCGCGTGCTCCTCACAGCGGCCGGCCAATGGGCGCGGCGCGCGGAGCCCGACCGCCAATGGGAGCGTCCCTATACCCGGGGGGCGGGAGGTCCCGGACGGAGCGGGGCGGGCTCCCCGGCCCCCTCCCCCAGTCTCCGGAGCGACCCAGGAGGACTCTGCGCCCCCCTTCGGAATCTACGGTGGCAATGGCGGCTCCTTCTTTCCTCCCCTAGGGAGGCTGGCGGGCCTAAGAAAGGCCGTCCCCGCGAGGCTCCGGACGGCCAGGGCTCGGATGGGAGAGGGCCAGAGCGCGGCGGGGCCCCCCCGGTCCTTCTTTCCTCCCCTAGGGAGGCTGGCGGGCCTAAGAAAGGCCGTCCCCGCGAGGCTCCGGACGGCCAGGGCTCGGATGGGAGAGGGCCAGAGCGCGGCGGGTCCACCCTGGCCCCCCGGTCCTCTGTCTCCCCCTCTGCTCCCGGGGCCTCCCGCCCCTTCCCCCACCTCCTGTCCTTCTGACCTCAGATCCTCTGCCCCTTCCCCCAGTCCTGCAGTGGGGGTCCTGTTCCCCGCCCCTCGCCCCTGCCGGTTCTGCCCGCGGACCAGAGACCGGTCCGTTTCACTCACGTCTCTGGCGGATAGAGTCCTTCCCGCTCGCTCCCCGCTGCCAGCCCCACGCTGGGTGAGACCTCGGGACCGCAGCGCAGCCGACGTCCGCTGAAGCAGACGTCCCTCCCTCTTTGTGCCTTATACAGATGACCTCTGTTAACTTGGAGCGAGGTGGTGGGCCAGGGGTCACTGTGCTTGCCTGGTTCCTACCTCAGCAAATGGCCGCACCGAACCGCTCCATTCCTCGCTTCCCCACGCTGGACTCTCTAGCTCTTCTAGCAATATCACCAGGATTTCCAACGAAATTCCTCTTTCCTGCTGGGAACCACTCTCCACCCGCGTGTATTCCACACAGATACGTTTTCTGAGTCCACATGCGCATGTGCTCTGGGCCTTGAGCAGGCCGACCCTGCACCCGTGGGCCTTGTCGGTGGAGAGCTGGCTAGCTAGACACTGTTTCCGTGGGATGCTCCCCGCGGTGTCCTCGCCGGGTCTAAGGGTGTACATTCCAATATTCACTGCACCTTGGCTGAGGACCTACAGTGTGCCAGCCCCCTGGGCCAAATGCTGGCACAGGATGGAGGCCATAGGTGGGCCCGTGGGTGGGCGGCTGCCCTCCCCACTCCCAGGGCCCCAGTGAGCTAAGTGTGCGCTGGGGGCTTAGCCATATGTAAGCCTCGTCTGGGCGGGAGATGGGTGCTCTGTGGTGTCCAGCCCGCAGAGCTACCAAGAGAAGCCAGAGTGAGCACCAAGCCAGTTGTGTGTGCGTGGTTGGGTGGGGTTGGCTCCGGGAGAAGGCAGGTTATCCAGGTTATCCAAGCTGCAGCTTGGGACTGGCAGGTCAACGGCGGACCTTACTACCCTTTTCAGAGGCGCTGCTTGATCTCTCTTCTTTCTTTTAGTACATTTTGTGTTCACATTACCAGACTCTCTTATTGGTTCTAAGTTTTCATTTGACTTTCTTAGATTGTCTAATAGTCCGGGAATAACGGAAAGTGCCCCATACAGGATAGCTTTTCTTAATTTTATGGTTGGTTGTCTCAGATGCTTACTTAGACTTTTCTTGTGATAATGATAGTTAGCTTTCAACAATGCACCTCAAATCCTGTTATTTTTAGAAGCCTAGGCATCAGTCTCGATCTCGAAATAAATGAAAGGCGTTGTGTAATTGCATTTCAGAGCATGGTGCACTACCAGTTTAGTAGTCCATCATAGAGGGTCATCACTTCTACTAGGACTTTAAGAAAAAAGATGGCGGTGGCAGAGTAGGGGGCGCGGCCGCCAACTCCGAATACCAGCGTGCACACGGGAGGCCGGGAGGCGGGGCCGGACCGACGCCACGTGGGAGGCCCCGCCCCTTGGCCCGCCCTGCCTCTGGAGCAGAGGAGTCTGCGCCAGCTGGTTTAGGCCTCACAGAGCACGCGCACTCCGCCGCATTCTGATTGGCGGACCCACGCAGCCCACCGCACTCAGATTGGTGGAACCGCTCCACATTCTGGGTCCCCAGTTCAGCGCTGCTCTTTACCCGTTCCGCTCCTCACCTCCTTGGAGGTGGCCCGGGGCCGGGATCGCACGGCCACCTGGCCGCCGGACTCAGCAAGGGCGGGCAGGACGGCTTCGGCTTCATCCGGGAGCTCCAGTCCAGGGGCTGGGACAGCTCCTATCGCTCTTCGTTCCGCCGTGACCTTCTCCACGACAGCGGTCCGGCATGTTTTCCAGGGCCCAGGTGAGGCGTGTTCTGCAGCGGGTGCCCGGGAAGCAGCGACTCGGCGTCTACAGGTTCCTGCCCTTCTTTTTTGTCCTGGGAGGAACAATGGAGTGGATCATGATTAAAGTGCGCGTGGGCCAGGAGACCTTCTGTAAGTGGGGGTGCAGCAGCCTGTTTCATTTCAGGCAGGCGGGAGGCGGCGAGGGAGCCGTTTTCCTTGGGGCTATTCTCAGCTTGTAGACCTCTCATTACGCTCAGCGCTGAGCTGCTTTTACCCTGGTCAGAAGGGCGAGTGCCGTTCCCTTCGTTGGGCGGTGGAGATCCGCCTGGGCTCTCCTGTAAGCGGGGCGACAAAGGCACACTGGTATCCGATCTTGAGACCTTCCCTGCACTTTGAGAGGAGGGCACGTGACTCCTCTCAGGACGCCCTCCTTTCAAGCCTGCCCTTCGGCCATGCCGGTGACACTGTTTCGGGCCTAAGAAATAGACTTCTCACAGCACCTAGAGGCGGGTGGGATCTTGAGGATTCATGGAAGTTCCTAACTGGTCAGTCCAAACCCTAGAGGGAACTTGGTTGGCCCGGCTTAGCTAAATACTACTGTCTTTACTGGCCAGAGTCATTGGTACCAATGCCCAGCATTACAAAAAGTGTGTCTGGCATTGCTTTGCTGAGCACTAGCCTGGACAGGCTAGTTCCTCTTCCAGGAAGACTTCCCTAACCCCTAGGCCCTTTCTGCTTTCTCCCTCTCCAGAAACACAATCACTTGTGAATCACCAACACTCATTTTTTTTAAAAAGTGCTTTCTAAAGATATTTAATCCTTTTGTGTTCACCCATTCCTTCATATTTAATGAGCACTGATGAGAGGATATAAGGCGGAGGGCCCCCACACCAGAAGAGCACTAATGGGAGAGACAGATCATACAGTTACTATTAAGTGTGATCACTGCTGTGGGGGGAAAGTTGGGGGAGCATGGGAGTCGTGGGTGGGGCACCTGAATTGGACTAGGTGGTGCAGGGAAGGCTTCCTGGAGGAGTTACCATGTCAGGTAGGATCTGAAGATTGAGTAGGTGTCAGCCAGATGAGGGAAACGTTTATGGACTTGAAAGTGTCTTCTGCCAGTGGTAAGAGCAAACCTTGGGGCCTTGGTGTGAAAGTATGCTGCTGTGTTTGAGGGACTGAAGCAGGTGAGCAGAGTGAGGGATGACGTGGTTAGAAAGGTGCCTGGGCAGGGCCACAAAGGGACTGGAGAACCAACAATGTATCTCAAAGGGCTGAAGAGTTTTAAGCCGCAGCTGGTGAACATATGTGGAGAATGCTTTCTTGTGGAGGGTGGATTGACAGGAACACTTAGGCTGTGTGGTTGTCCAGATTTGAGATAGTGGCCTGGACTAGGCTGAGATGCCAGCAAGTGGGCAGAGTTGAGAGACACCCCAGAGGTAGTACTGACAAGGGCTTGGTGATTGAGTGGACTCAGGAGATGAGGAGTGGCGGCTTCTGGTAGGGCAGCTGGGGCAGGGGGAACACAGGCAGGACAGTCCTGGGCTCCATTTTGGACGTGCTGAGGGGGAGATGGTTATACAGAACTGAAGCTCAGAAGGCAGATCTGGGCCTCAGATCTAGGTTTGTGGGTCATTCACAAGCTGATTGTGATTAAAGTAAGAGTTTAAACCCCAACATTTTAAGGGTGACTGAGAGTGACCAGAGAGGCAAGAAGGGAAACATGAAGGGCTTGTTATCACAGAAGACAGGAGGTTCAGGAAGTTCAACTAAGTGAATGGGAGGTAAGCCCCCTCTCCCCTACCAGGAGAGACTTGAAATATGCAAATACTGATCAGGAAAGAGAGGGTGGAGAGAGGCTGGAGATACCTTGGCCCTTGAGAAGGTGGGAGAGGATGGGGCCAGAGCAAGGCAAGGAGTAGCCCTTGGAAGTCAGCTGGAAGAGTTCTTTACTGATGACTTTTCTCTTTGAAGGAAGAGTTCATGGCCATTTCGGGGTGGGTAAAGTAGGGTCAGGGCCGTGGCTGAAGAAACAGGACTGCCAGGCATCACAGTGGACCCAGTTAGATGCAACAGTTGGGCCCACAGTGCAAAGCAAGCAGAATGAGGCATGGAGAAGTAAGTTGGATTAATCTGTAGTTTGGGTTTTGAAGGTATATCAAGAAGTTGATATTGATGAGAGGGAGTTTCAGCTGATCTGGGCAGGAAGAGAGAACAAGGGCCTGAGGAAGTTGGTGGAGGTCCAAGGACAGAAAGGTAGTAGAGGTTGTGGTCAGAGCAGAATGAACTTATTGCTTCAGAGGAACACTGCAAGCAGATGGCAGAAGTTGAGAAGGAAGGAAGATAAAGGGGGCTGGTGTTGCCTGGGAAGATGGCACAGGACAGGGTCAAGGAACCTGAGCTAGATGCCAGCATTTTCAGAGACTGAAGGGGAGTGATGGACAGCAGGTGCCAGTGCAGAGAAGATGGTGGCAAATGGCATAGGACCCAGAGGAAGAAGGTGGAGAATCAGTAGTAGTCTGGAAAAGCAGCAGCTGAGAACAAGGAGACTGCCCTCAGTTCCTGGGTGTGGCAGAGGGAGCAGCAGAGAGCTATAGGGCCAGAAGTACCTCTGCAGGGCCAGTTAAGAAGGATGATTTCAGATAGAAGTGAAATTGCTAAGGGCTGTGCTGGGACATGACACTATCTTTGAAGACACTGACTCTGACCCTGCTATTGATATTGAGAGCTCCTTTAACATAGTGCTCATTTAAATCAAATCTTCTTTTAAGTTTATTCTGGCATTGAGTTAAGCCTTAATGTTGATATTCAGGTGACAGATCTAGACTATTGGTTAAATTACTCAGATATGTATTTTTAATTCCTTAGTCTCTTGAAAATCTAAATAAAATCTTTGTTTGATACAGACGATGTCTACCGTAGAAAAGCCTCAGAAAGGCAGTATCAGAGAAGGCTGGAAGATGCATCAGAGACTGAACTTCAGCAGTCAATAAAGTGAATATGAAACTTTACTACTGGTTTCAACTCCTTTAAAGATGTACTTTTCGGGTCTCTTGTTCTTACATAGAACTGCCTTTACAAAGAATTTTTATAGTTTTCCTGTCTCTGCTTGAATACTTCCCAAGACACTGATGGACAGCACTTATGGGAAAATTATTTCCTACTAAAACACACCTACCCATTGAATCTAGTCCATGAAATATTTCTAAACAATTCAAGGATCAATCAGGATGCTTTTCAGTGTAGCCTGAATTGTTTGTGAAGTCCTTTGTTTTAGGCAACAAGGGATAACCTTATTTAGTTTTTTGCAGAATTCAGACTTACTATGAATAAAAGTTATCTACTGTAGGATCATTTAAACTAGGATTATTATGCAGACTGCATTTCTGCTAGCTACCAATTTGTAAACACTTTGTTAGAATGTGACCATACGTTACTCATGTTAAGTGCTCTTGTGAACACAGACAACCCCTTTCCTTGCTTGGCTCCATTAACATACAAGGGCTGGACCTCCATGAGGACTGGGGAGCAACACGTTTCACTCCCCTCTGAGATGAAGATGTTGCTTTCATCCAGCTGCTAAAGATAAAGACACTGCTCCTTCCCAAAGAAAGTGCATCTTCACAGCATAAAGCAACCAGAGACTTGAGCTAAATCAGAGGCTCAGTCTATAGGGAGAGATTTTCCAATCTGACCCAGAATAAGTTTGGATCGGTTGGTAGAAAAAGCAAAGGCATCTTTCCATGTTTGGATAACCATATCCAACATCTTTTCAAACAAGAAAATATATACATATTAAAGAAGACTAAGTTTCAAACTATTGCTCATGAATAAAGAAGCAGATGCTTAAGGCCACAGAGTATCCTCAAGTTAATGATATCTGCCACAAATAAATTGTTCTAAGGGATTTTTTTTTTTCTAATTTAAGTCAGTCCATTTATGTTAGAACCAATCCAGTATAAATAAGGAGCCACTGACTACTCATATCATTAAAGTACTAATGAGTCACTGCTCAGAGGTGGCTTGAGTATGAAGACCAGTGATGACCAACAAGCACCAGGGAGAGGAAGGTAGTTCTCATGTGCGCTTTTGTTACCTCAGGCATTCCTGGTGACCCTAAACCTCAGTTACTTTTAGTGACTAGACTGCTGCATAATGAATTTAAATTGTGGCCTTAACTCCCATTTGTTCCCCCAACCTGTTTTAGAAGTTTAATATTTTGTACCTATGTAAAGAGCATATGTAACATACATACCTTTTACAAAGAATAGTTGTAAATGCTAATAAAACCATCAGCTAACTTCTCTGTCTGCTGTGGTTTCCTTCCCTGGCCTATCCTGCAGCCTCCATCCCAGGGAGAATCTCTAGTCTGAAATTTGTGCTAAACTTCCCTAGAGTTTTCTTCATCTTTCTAAAATATATGTATTGGAGTGCCAATTTATTTAAGACAACGAAGCTTTGAAGACGACACAACAATGTCTGACTTCAAGGCAAGTAGACTAGCAAAGCAATTAAAATTGAAGATACTTTCAAAGCATTTTAATTTGGATGCTACAGAACTAATTTTTGTTAACCAAGGTGCAAGCTTTTTAACTTTGCCTCAATTTTTTAGCAGTTCTACTAAGGAATATGACTCTATCCCACTTATCAGACACTAGGATTATTTAAGGGAACTTAAATAATTTAAACAGCAATGCTCTCATATGCTGCTTACAGAACTGCAGTGCCCCCTACTGTGAACTACAAGGCAAACAATTTAATAACTTGCATTTCAAAAACCACAATACTTCAGAATGACAAAAATCTAATTAGCATTTATTGCTAGAAGTCTACCTCCACTGGGGTGTCAGACAAAGAACATGGGCTTTGGAGCTTCATTTTATCATCTGAATGGATAGGGAAAGTATTGGGTTGACCAAAAAGTTCATTCGGTTTTTCTCGTAAGATGGCTCTAGTAGTGCTTAGCTGTCTTTAACTTCATTCGAAACAATTTTGCTAGACTGTATTGTGACAGGTCTCATTACCAGCGTGCATTAAAAAAAAAAAAAATCAAAATTGGTGAATTTTTGTGCAGCCATTTTAATATTGAAGATGGAAGCAACATTTTCCAAGTATTATGCTTTATTTCTTTTTTATATAAATTTTATTTATTTTTGGCTGCGTTGGGTCTTTGTTGCTGCGCGTGGGCTCTCTCTAGCTGTGGACAGTGGGGGCTACTCTTCGTTGCGATGTGAGGGCTTCTCCTTGCAGTGGCTTCTCTTGTTGCAGAGCACGGGCTCTAGGCGCGTGGGCTTCAGTTAGTTGTGGCTCATGGGCTCTAGAGCGCAGGCTCAGTAATGTGGTGCATGGGCTTAGTTGCCCCGAGGTATGTGGGATCTTCCCGGAGCAGGAATAGAACCCGTGTCCCCTGCATTGGCAGGTGGATTCCCAACCACTGCGCCACCAGGGAAGTCCCTGTGCTTTATTATTTCAAAAAAGGTTAAAAACGCAACTGAAACACATTAAAAGATTTGTGCAGTGTATGGAGAAAGTGCTGTGACTGATCGAATATGTCAGAAGTGGTTAGTGAAGTTTTGTGCTGGAGATTTCCTGCTGGACAATGCTCCACGGTCAGGCAGACCTACTGAAGTTGATAGTGATCAAATCGAGACACTGAGAACAATCAACGTTATACCATGCGTGAGAGAGCCAACATACTCAAAAATATCCAAGTCAAGCATTGAAAATCACTGCTTGGTTATGTTAATTGCTTTGATGTTTGGGTTCCATAATTTAAGTGAAAAAAGCCTTCTTGACTGTATTTCCACATGCAATTCTCTACTTAAACGTAACAAGAACATTCTATTTTTAAAACAAATTGTGACAGGCAATGAAAAGTGGATACTGTACAATAATGTGGAACGGAAGAGATCGTGGGGCAAGCTAAATGAACCACCACCAACCAACCAAAGGCCGGTCTTCATCCAAAGAAGGTGATGTATATACGGTGGGATTGGGAGGGAGTCCTCTATTATGAGCTCCTTCCAGAAAACAAAACGATTAATTCCAACAAGTACTGCTCCCAGTTAGACCAACTGAAAGCAGCACTCGACGAAAAGCATCCGGAATTGGTCAACAGAAAACGCATAATCTTCCATCAGGATGACGCAAGACCGCACGTTTCAATAACCAGGCAAAAAACTGTTACAGCTTGGCTGAGAAATTCTAATTCATCCGTCGTATTCACCAGATATTGCACCTGCGTATTTCCATTTATTTCGGTCTTTACAAAATTCTCTTCATGGAAAAAATGCCAATTCTCTGGAAGACTGTAAAAGGCACCTGGAACAGTTCTTTGCTCAAAAAGATAAAAAGTTTTGGGAAGATGGAATTATGAAGTTGCCTGAAAAATGGCAGAATGTGAATATGTTGTTCAATTAAGTTCTTGGTGAAAATGAAAAATGTCTTTTATTTTTACTTAAAAACTCAAGGAACTTTTTGGCCAACCCAATACCTAAGCACAGAGTAAATACTCAATAAGGGCGGGCTATCTTTGTTCATCTAGTAGTCCTCTTTTGGAAATCTTGCCTACATCTCTGAAGTTATAACTCAATCAAATTAATCTCTTTTAGAAGTTTGGATCTTTCACACTGAGTTACTTCTCTTAAAAAAAAATATACACTTGGACCATGGTGTTTTCCAAAACAACTTCTCTCCTAGTAAAGCAGCATCAGTTTAGTTTTCATACACGTGTATCAAATTTGGTATTTCTTGCCACATTTATATGTATAATCCACAAGATGTGCATTCCACATCTATCTGGGGGATAGAAATAGTCTATTAATTTGTTCAGGTATGAACTTTCATTCAGCTAACCTTGCACACTTCCAAATGCAAAAGGAACAGAGTAATACTTAGCACTATTGCTCAGAGTGTTCAGCTGGAATGTTTAACTATACATCAACGATCATTCAAAATGTTTATGAGCAGAGATGGAAGTACAGCCCTAAACTCTCAGGAGAACAGAACCACAGGGATTTGCAAAGTGATATTAGAGGAAAACCGTTGGTTGATTTTACCAACACCTTCTATTAAAAGTGTTGTCATGTTTTAAGAGATTATAAGCATGATAAAAACATATCCGGGCCACTTCTCTCTTCTGGCCACACAGCTATTTGAAATGGATTACACTGATTTATGATATAGAACATGTTTGCCTTACCTTCCATCATCAGTAACAACTCCCTCTGCAATTTTAACTTCAACCTGCATTTCTGCCCATGCTGAAGACATGTTAGGAATCCTTGACTGCCAGTCTGAGAGCTTGGCATGGGCATGTCAGGCTGCAGTGTGACTACATTCAGCTTCTGTATTAATGCAGCCTAAGCCTTGGATCAGTGTCTGGACACTGACTTATGCCTCTACCCAAGGAGCTCTCTTCCTTTAAATTGGCAGCCATATCCCTGTCAACATAAAATCAAGGCTTGCAGAAATTAAACCTACTTGAAACTAACATCTGACACAGCTTTAACAAAACAACCAAACCTGGTTAATCCAAATCACTTTGCAAACTCCATTTTTATTTGGATTAAAAAGCTTCAGATGAACAAAGATATGATACATACATATTATAAGACTAGTTATCACTTAAACCTCTTTTGATACAGAAATTAGAATAAACCAAGTTTTAATCAAGTCTGAAAATGTTTAAGTTCAAAAATCAACAACACCAATTTGGAGATTTTACACAAAGAAGAGTCCCCTCTTAATTCTTCCTCATAGGAAGAAAAGGGTGGGTTCAAAAACAAAGTAATTCAAGGCCTTTTAAATCAGTTGGCTGACATACTATTTTAAACCTATAGGTCTTTTTCCGCACATAAACAAAATTCTTTTCCACATGAACTTACATTTTGAAAACATTTAGGCCATTATACTTTCTAAGCCATATCACTACAGTTCCTAAAACTCATGGAAAAAAAAGATGTGTAGTTCACATGTACCTTTTAAAGTCAGGGCTTT